TTGGACCTATCTATTTATATTTATACAGCGTGTCGTTACCATCGCGACAATAAATGAACACACATATAGGGGATAACTTTTTAAAGTTGTATTAAACATTTAAATTCTTTAAACATCAATATTAACAGAGTTATTAAATTTTCCAAAACAAAGAATTTTAGAACACCCTCACCTCTAGAAGCGTAACGTAAAGTTCATTTGTAAAGGTCACAAAGCATATGAATGGGTTGAATGAATTTAAAAGAGACAAAACATACTGTTAGAAGGAGAGGCTTGTAATACGACGCTGTGGCGTGAGTTGTATAGGATGTTACAAATTTTATTTCTTTTTTACTTAATTAGTTTGTTTGAAATATATTTTTTTTAATTATGCATTTTGTTTAACGTTAATATTTTTTTATGATTATTGGCACGTAACGTTAGACGTGTGTTCATTTATTGTCGCGATGGTAACGACACGCTGTATATTCCAACTATAAAATGTAAATCCTTTCTTGGCTGTAAGTTAAGCATATGAGATAAACATGTAAACAACTAAAGGCTGTAGATTTTGTTGCTCAATAAAAAAAAATAATTCCTATATCTATTAAAGAAAAGGGATTAAAAAAAACGTTTTAATTAGCAATAAATTTTATTTGAAAAGCATTTTTTTTTGCGACCCGTGGTCATTTTTTATATCTTGCTGAATAATAAAGAAGAAAAATTTAAACAATACGTCTTCAAGCGATCAGTTTCCATAAGAATGTTTAATAGCCCAGTGAATTTCTTAGGGAACGCGGCATTACATTAAGAGAATCGAAACACACACAGACTTTTCCCCTTCCTGATGGGAAAGTTCTTCCCGGCGATATGATTGGAGCGTTTCCGACTGGTTGATAAACGGCGACTGGTTGTGAGCTGCCGTTTGAGTTCGAACCGGTAACCGATTGAGAGCCGCTGCCTGTTTGCGGACCGGTACCTGCATGAGAAATTCGTAAATACAAGTACCACCTATCGTATGCTTAGTTCGTTCGTGCTTCGAACGTTTAACTTGTTAATTACATGTGAAATGGATTGATGAATACAAGGTATCTTGGTCTGTTAGCTTTTATCTGATTTTGAGTATTGCCGCCGCCCAAGGACGAATTGTTCGCTAGTGGATTTGCCGCTTAATTTCACAACTTAATGCTTGGATCATTTAACTTGTCAATTACTAATTCTATAGGGCGTGCACTGAAGCTACGTCGTTTGTTATCATTACCTCCAGTAGTAGGTCCGGATGAGGAAGCGTAACTTTGAGCTGAGGCACCTGACGAACTGGTTGGCCCACCTGAGTTAATAAACGGTTTTAGGATGAGTCAATTAGTTGAACAAAGTACACGTGAAATGTACGTTATTATAAAGACAGTTTTTAAACTTCTGTTATCACAGCATTGCCCTCAAGCGATATTCTGCTGATAGATTGGTCGGTAAAAGATTAGACAGTGGCTTATATATTTTATTTTTCAGGTCATACGAGTCCATGTGAAATGAATTGATGAATACAAAGTATCTTGGTCTGTTAGCTTTTATCTGATTTTGAGTATTGCCGCCGCCCAAGGAAAAATTGTTCGCTAGTGGATTTGCCGCTTAATTTCACAACTTAGCAAGGCTGAAATTCTTCGACCTCTAACAAAAGTTTAAAACCAAGAAGTATAATGTTTCTACTACACGCTGATCATCAGCGAGGTCATGATGCTTGCCCTGATGAGGCTATCTATTCAAGCAACAGCGAAGGCTTTTACAGGACAAACAGATTTATACTGTCAACCTATAATATTTGGTCTACAAAAACTGAGGTTGAAATACACACCGTTGCTTGGTTGACTACCGGGGCCTGTTGGAGCAGTAGGGCTTTGGTTCGAAGGCGTTCCTTGTTGTGGAGAGTTGCCTGATGTACCAGTGCCCTGGTTGCCGCTGTTGCCTGGTCGGAAAGTAATGCATTTTTTAATATAAGCGCCAACTACGACAAGCTAAATTAATGCTTGGATCATTTAACTTGTCAATTACTAATTCTATAGGGCGTGCACTGAAGCTACGTCGTTTGTTATCATTACCTCCAGTAGTAGGTCCGGATGAGGAAGCGTAACTTTGAGCTGAGGCACCTGACGAACTGGTTGGCCCACCTGAGTTAATAAACGGTTTTAGGATGAGTCAATTAGTTGAACAAAGTACACGTGAAATGTACGTTATTATAAAGACAGTTTTTAAACTTCTGTTATCACAGCATTGCCCTCAAGCGATATTCTGCTGATAGATTGGTCGGTAAAAGATTAGACAGTGGCTTAATATATTTTATTTTTCAGGTCATACGAGTCCATGTGAAATGAATTGATGAATACAAAGTATCTTGGTCTGTTAGCTTTTATCTGATTTTGAGTATTGCCGCCGCCCAAGGACAAATTGTTCGCTAGTGGATTTGCCGCTTAATTTCACAACTTAGCAAGGCTGAAATTCTTCGACCTCTAACAAAAGTTAAAACCAAGAAGTATAATGTTTCTACTACACGCTGATCATCAGCGAGGTCATGATGCTTGCCCTGATGAGGCTATCTATTCAAGCAACAGCGAAGGCTTTTACAGGACAAACAGATTTATACTGTCAACCTATAATATTTGGTCTACAAAAACTGAGGTTGAAATACACACCGTTGCTTGGTTGACTACCGGGGCCTGTTGGAGCAGTAGGGCTTTGGTTCGAAGGCGTTCCTTGTTGTGGAGAGTTGCCTGATGTACCAGTGCCCTGGTTGCCGCTGTTGCCTGGTCGGAAAGTAATGCATTTTTTAATATAAGCGCCAACTACGACAAGCTAAATTAATGCTTGGATCATTTAACTTGTCAATTACTAATTCTATAGGGCGTGCACTGAAGCTACGTCGTTTTTGTTATCATTACCTCCAGTAGTAGGTCCGGATGAGGAAGCGTAACTTTGAGCTGAGGCACCTGACGAACTGGTTGGCCCACCTGAGTTAATAAACGGTTTTAGGATGAGTCAATTAGTTGAACAAAGTACACGTGAAATGTACGTTATTATAAAGACAGTTTTTAAACTTCTGTTATCACAGCATTGCCCTCAAGCGATATTCTGCTGATAGATTGGTCGGTAAAAGATTAGACAGTGGCTTAATATATTTTATTTTTCAGGTCATACGAGTCCATGTGAAATGGATTGATGAATACAAAGTATCTTGGTCTGTTAGCTTTTATCTGATTTTGAGTATTGCCGCCACCCAAGGACAAATTGTTCGCTAGTGGATTTGCCGCTTAATTTCACAACCTAGCAAGGCTGAAATTCTTCGACCTCTAACAAAAGGTAAAACCAAGAAGTATAATGTTTCTACTACACGCTGATCATCAGCGAGGTCATGATGCTTGCCCTGATGAGGCTATCTATTCAAGCAACAGCGAAGGCTTTTACAGGACAAACAGATTTATACTGTCAACCTATAATATTTGGTCTACAAAAACTGAGGTTGAAATACACACCGTTGCTTGGTTGACTACCGGGGCCTGTTGGAGCAGTAGGGCTTTGGTTCGAAGGCGTTCCTTGTTGTGGAGAGTTGCCTGATGTACCAGTGCCCTGGTTGCCGCTGTTGCCTGGTCGGAAAGTAATGCATTTTTTAATATAAGCGCCAACTACGACAAGCTAAATTAATGCTTGGATCATTTAACTTGTCAATTACTAATTCTATAGGGCGTGCACTGAAGCTACGTCGTTTGTTATCATTACCTCCAGTAGTAGGTCCGGATGAGGAAGCGTAACTTTGAGCTGAGGCACCTGACGAACTGGTTGGCCCACCTGAGTTAATAAACGGTTTTAGGATGAGTCAATTAGTTGAACAAAGTACACGTGAAATGTACGTTATTATAAAGACAGTTTTTAAACTTCTGTTATAACAGCATTGCCCTCAAGCGATATTCTGCTGATAGATTGGTCGGTAAAAGATTAGACAGTGGCTTAATATATTTTATTTTTCAGGTCATACGAGTCCATGTGAAATGGATTGATGAATACAAGGTATCTTGGTCTGTTAGCTTTTATCTGATTTTGAGTATTGCCGCCGCCCAAGGACAAATTGTTCGCTAGTGGATTTGCCGCTTAATTTCACAACTTAGCAAGGCTGAAATTCTTCGACCTCTAACAAAAGTTAAAACCAAGAAGTATAATGTTTTTCTACTACACGCTGATCATCAGCGAGGTCATGATGCTTGCCCTGATGAGGCTATCTATTCAAGCAACAGCGAAGGCTTTTACAGGACAAACAGATTTATACTGTCAACCTATAATATTTGGTCTACAAAAACTGAGGTTGAAATACACACACCGTTGCTTGGTTGACTACCGGGGCCTGTTGGAGCAGTAGGGCTTTGGTTCGAAGGCGTTCCTTGTTGTGGAGAGTTGCCTGATGTACCAGTGCCCTGGTTGCCGCTGTTGCCTGGTCGGAAAGTAATGCATTTTTTAATATAAGCGCCAACTACGACAAGCTAAATTAATGCTTGGATCATTTAACTTGTCAATTACTAATTCTATAGGGCGTGCACTGAAGCTACGTCGTTTGTTATCATTACCTCCAGTAGTAGGTCCGGATGAGGAAGCGTAACTTTGAGCTGAGGCACCTGACGAACTGGTTGGCCCACCTGAGTTAATAAACGGTTTTAGGATGAGTCAATTAGTTGAACAAAGTACACGTGAAATGTACGTTATTATAAAGACAGTTTTTAAACTTCTGTTAACAGCATTGCCCTCAAGCGATATTCTGCTGATAGATTGGTCGGTAAAAGATTAGACAGTGGCTTAATATATTTTATTTTTCAGGTCATACGAGTCCATGTGAAATGGATTGATGAATACAAGGTATCTTGGTCTGTTAGCTTTTATCTGATTTTGAGTATTGCCGCCGCCCAAGGACAAATTGTTCGCTAGTGGATTTGCCGCTTAATTTCACAACTTAGCAAGGCTGAAATTCTTCGACCTCTAACAAAAGTTAAAACCAAGAAGTATAATGTTTTTCTACTACACGCTGATCATCAGCGAGGTCATGATGCTTGCCCTGATGAGGCTATCTATTCAAGCAACAGCGAAGGCTTTTACAGGACAAACAGATTTATACTGTCAACCTATAATATTTGGTCTACAAAAACTGAGGTTGAAATACACACCGTTGCTTGGTTGACTACCGGGGCCTGTTGGAGCAGTAGGGCTTTGGTTCGAAGGCGTTCCTTGTTGTGGAGAGTTGCCTGATGTACCAGTGCCCTGGTTGCCGCTGTTGCCTGGTCGGAAAGTAATGCATTTTTTAATATAAGCGCCAACTACACAAGCTAAATTAATGCTTGGATCATTTAACTTGTCAATTACTAATTCTATAGGGCGTGCACTGAAGCTACGTCGTTTGTTATCATTACCTCCAGTAGTAGGTCCGGATGAGGAAGCGTAACTTTGAGCTGAGGCACCTGACGAACTGGTTGGCCCACCTGAGTTAATAAACGGTTTTAGGATGAGTCAATTAGTTGAACAAAGTACACGTGAAATGTACGTTATTATAAAGACAGTTTTTTAAACTTCTGTTATAACAGCATTGCCCTCAAGCGATATTCTGCTGATAGATTGGTCGGTAAAAGATTAGACAGTGGCTTAATATATTTTATTTTTCAGGTCATACGAGTCCATGTGAAATGGATTGATGAATACAAGGTATCTTGGTCTGTTAGCTTTTATCTGATTTTGAGTATTGCCGCCGCCCAAGGACAAATTGTTCGCTAGTGGATTTGCCGCTTAATTTCACAACTTAGCAAGGCTGAAATTCTTCGACCTCTAACAAAAGTTAAAACCAAGAAGTATAATGTTTCTACTACACGCTGATCATCAGCGAGGTCATGATGCTTGCCCTGATGAGGCTATCTATTCAAGCAACAGCGAAGGCTTTTACAGGACAAACAGATTTATACTGTCAACCTATAATATTTGGTCTACAAAAACTGAGGTTGAAATACACACCGTTGCTTGGTTGACTACCGGGGCCTGTTGGAGCAGTAGGGCTTTGGTTCGAAGGCGTTCCTTGTTGTGGAGAGTTGCCTGATGTACCAGTGCCCTGGTTGCCGCTGTTGCCTGGTCGGAAAGTAATGCATTTTTTAATATAAGCGCCAACTACGACAAGCTAAATTAATGCTTGGATCATTTAACTTGTCAATTACTAATTCTATAGGGCGTGCACTGAAGCTACGTCGTTTGTTATCATTACCTCCAGTAGTAGGTCCGGATGAGGAAGCGTAACTTTGAGCTGAGGCACCTGACGAACTGGTTGCCCCCACCTGAGTTAATAAACGGTTTTAGGATGAGTCAATTAGTTGAACAAAGTACACGTGAAATGTACGTTATTATAAAGACAGTTTTTAAACTTCTGTTATCACAGCATTGCCCTCAAGCGATATTCTGCTGATAGATTGGTCGGTAAAAGATTAGACAGTGGCTTAATATATTTTATTTTTCAGGTCATACGAGTCCATGTGAAATGGATTGATGAATACAAAGTATCTTGGTCTGTTAGCTTTTATCTGATTTTGAGTATTGCCGCCGCCCAAGGACAAATTGTTCGCTAGTGGATTTGCCGCTTAATTTCACAACTTAGCAAGGCTGAAATTCTTCGACCTCTAACAAAAGTTAAAACCAAGAAGTATAATGTTTTTCTACTACACGCTGATCATCAGCGAGGTCATGATGCTTGCCCTGATGAGGCTATCTATTCAAGCAACAGCGAAGGCTTTTACAGGACAAACAGATTTATACTGTCAACCTATAATATTTGGTCTACAAAACTGAGGTTGAAATACACACCGTTGCTTGGTTGACTACCGGGGCCTGTTGGAGCAGTAGGGCTTTGGTTCGAAGGCGTTCCTTGTTGTGGAGAGTTGCCTGATGTACCAGTGCCCTGGTTGCCGCTGTTGCCTGGTCGGAAAGTAATGCATTTTTTAATATAAGCGCCAACTACGACAAGCTAAATTAATGCTTGGATCATTTAACTTGTCAATTACTAATTCTATAGGGCGTGCACTGAAGCTACGTCGTTTGTTATCATTACCTCCAGTAGTAGGTCCGGATGAGGAAGCGTAACTTTGAGCTGAGGCACCTGACGAACTGGTTGGCCCACCTGAGTTAATAAACGGTTTTAGGATGAGTCAATTAGTTGAACAAAGTACACGTGAAATGTACGTTATTATAAAGACAGTTTTTAAACTTCTGTTATCACAGCATTGCCCTCAAGCGATATTCTGCTGATAGATTGGTCGGTAAAAGATTAGACAGTGGCTTAATATATTTTATTTTTCAGGTCATACGAGTCCATGTGAAATGGATTGATGAATACAAAGTATCTTGGTCTGTTAGCTTTTATCTGATTTTGAGTATTGCCGCCGCCCAAGGACAAATTGTTCGCTAGTGGATTTGCCGCTTAATTTCACAACTTAGCAAGGCTGAAATTCTTCGACCTCTAACAAAAGTTAAAACCAAGAAGTATAATGTTTCTACTACACGCTGATCATCAGCGAGGTCATGATGCTTGCCCTGATGAGGCTATCTATTCAAGCAACAGCGAAGGCTTTTACAGGACAAACAGATTTATACTGTCAACCTATAATATTTGGTCTACAAAAACTGAGGTTGAAATACACACCGTTGCTTGGTTGACTACCGGGGCCTGTTGGAGCAGTAGGGCTTTGGTTCGAAGGCGTTCCTTGTTGTGGAGAGTTGCCTGATGTACCAGTGCCCTGGTTGCCGCTGTTGCCTGGTCGGAAAGTAATGCATTTTTTTAATATAAGCGCCAACTACGACAAGCTAAATTAATGCTTGGATCATTTAACTTGTCAATTACTAATTCTATAGGGCGTGCACTGAAGCTACGTCGTTTGTTATCATTACCTCCAGTAGTAGGTCCGGATGAGGAAGCGTAACTTTGAGCTGAGGCACCTGACGAACTGGTTGGCCCACCTGAGTTAATAAACGGTTTTAGGATGAGTCAATTAGTTGAACAAAGTACACGTGAAATGTACGTTATTATAAAGACAGTTTTTAAACTTCTGTTATCACAGCATTGCCCTCAAGCGATATTCTGCTGATAGATTGGTCGGTAAAAGATTAGACAGTGGCTTAATATATTTTATTTTTCAGGTCATACGAGTCCATGTGAAATGGATTGATGAATACAAAGTATCTTGGTCTGTTAGCTTTTATCTGATTTTGAGTATTGCCGCCGCCCAAGGACAAATTGTTCGCTAGTGGATTTGCCGCTTAATTTCACAACTTAGCAAGGCTGAAATTCTTCGACCTCTAACAAAAGTTAAAACCAAGAAGTATAATGTTTCTACTACACGCTGATCATCAGCGAGGTCATGATGCTTGCCCTGATGAGGCTATCTATTCAAGCAACAGCGAAGGCTTTTACAGGACAAACAGATTTATACTGTCAACCTATAATATTTGGTCTACAAAAACTGAGGTTGAAATACACACCGTTGCTTGGTTGACTACCGGGGCCTGTTGGAGCAGTAGGGCTTTGGTTCGAAGGCGTTCCTTGTTGTGGAGAGTTGCCTGATGTACCAGTGCCCTGGTTGCCGCTGTTGCCTGGTCGGAAAGTAATGCATTTTTTAATATAAGCGCCAACTACGACAAGCTAAATTAATGCTTGGATCATTTAACTTGTCAATTACTAATTCTATAGGGCGTGCACTGAAGCTACGTCGTTTGTTATCATTACCTCCAGTAGTAGGTCCGGATGAGGAAGCGTAACTTTGAGCTGAGGCACCTGACGAACTGGTTGGCCCACCTGAGTTAATAAACGGTTTTAGGATGAGTCAATTAGTTGAACAAAGTACACGTGAAATGTACGTTATTATAAAGACAGTTTTTAAACTTCTGTTATCACAGCATTGCCCTCAAGCGATATTCTGCTGATAGATTGGTCGGTAAAAGATTAGACAGTGGCTTAATATATTTTATTTTTCAGGTCATACGAGTCCATGTGAAATGGATTGATGAATACAAAGGTATCTTGGTCTGTTAGCTTTTATCTGATTTTGAGTATTGCCGCCGCCCAAGGACAAATTGTTCGCTAGTGGATTTGCCGCTTAATTTCACAACTTAGCAAGGCTGAAATTCTTCGACCTCTAACAAAAGTTAAAACCAAGAAGTATAATGTTTTCTACTACACGCTGATCATCAGCGAGGTCATGATGCTTGCCCTGATGAGGCTATCTATTCAAGCAACAGCGAAGGCTTTTACAGGACAAACAGATTTATACTGTCAACCTATAATATTTGGTCTACAAAAACTGAGGTTGAAATACACACCGTTGCTTGGTTGACTACCGGGGCCTGTTGGAGCAGTAGGGCTTTGGTTCGAAGGCGTTCCTTGTTGTGGAGAGTTGCCTGATGTACCAGTGCCCTGGTTGCCGCTGTTGCCTGGTCGGAAAGTAATGCATTTTTTAATATAAGCGCCAACTACGACAAGCTAAATTAATGCTTGGATCATTTAACTTGTCAATTACTAATTCTATAGGGCGTGCACTGAAGCTACGTCGTTTGTTATCATTACCTCCAGTAGTAGGTCCGGATGAGGAAGCGTAACTTTGAGCTGAGGCACCTGACGAACTGGTTGGCCCACCTGAGTTAATAAACGGTTTTAGGATGAGTCAATTAGTTGAACAAAGTACACGTGAAATGTACGTTATTATAAAGACAGTTTTTAAACTTCTGTTATCACAGCATTGCCCTCAAGCGATATTCTGCTGATAGATTGGTCGGTAAAAGATTAGACAGTGGCTTAATATATTTTATTTTTCAGGTCATACGAGTCCATGTGAAATGGATTGATGAATACAAGGTATCTTGGTCTGTTAGCTTTTATCTGATTTTGAGTATTGCCGCCGCCCAAGGACAAATTGTTCGCTAGTGGATTTGCCGCTTAATTTCACAACTTAGCAAGGCTGAAATTCTTCGACCTCTAACAAAAGTTAAAACCAAGAAGTATAATGTTTCTACTACACGCTGATCATCAGCGAGGTCATGATGCTTGCCCTGATGAGGCTATCTATTCAAGCAACAGCGAAGGCTTTTACAGGACAAACAGATTTATACTGTCAACCTATAATATTTGGTCTACAAAAACTGAGGTTGAAATACACACCGTTGCTTGGTTGACTACCGGGGCCTGTTGGAGCAGTAGGGCTTTGGTTCGAAGGCGTTCCTTGTTGTGGAGAGTTGCCTGATGTACCAGTGCCCTGGTTGCCGCTGTTGCCTGGTCGGAAAGTAATGCATTTTTAATATAAGCGCCAACTACGACAAGCTAAATTAATGCTTGGATCATTTAACTTGTCAATTACTAATTCTATAGGGCGTGCACTGAAGCTACGTCGTTTGTTATCATTACCTCCAGTAGTAGGTCCGGATGAGGAAGCGTAACTTTGAGCTGAGGCACCTGACGAACTGGTTGGCCCACCTGAGTTAATAAACGGTTTTAGGATGAGTCAATTAGTTGAACAAAGTACACGTGAAATGTACGTTATTATAAAGACAGTTTTTAAACTTCTGTTATAACAGCATTGCCCTCAAGCGATATTCTGCTGATAGATTGGTCGGTAAAAGATTAGACAGTGGCTTAATATATTTTATTTTTCAGGTCATACGAGTCCATGTGAAATGAATTGATGAATACAAAGTATCTTGGTCTGTTAGCTTTTATCTGATTTTGAGTATTGCCGCCGCCCAAGGACAAATTGTTCGCTAGTGGATTTGCCGCTTAATTTCACAACTTAGCAAGGCTGAAATTCTTCGACCTCTAACAAAAGTTAAAACCAAGAAGTATAATGTTTTCTACTACACGCTGATCATCAGCGAGGTCATGATGCTTGCCCTGATGAGGCTATCTATTCAAGCAACAGCGAAGGCTTTTACAGGACAAACAGATTTATACTGTCAACCTATAATATTTGGTCTACAAAAACTGAGGTTGAAATACACACCGTTGCTTGGTTGACTACCGGGGCCTGTTGGAGCAGTAGGGCTTTGGTTCGAAGGCGTTCCTTGTTGTGGAGAGTTGCCTGATGTACCAGTGCCCTGGTTGCCGCTGTTCGCCTGGTCGGAAAGTAATGCATTTTTTAATATAAGCGCCAACTACGACAAGCTAAATTAATGCTTGGATCATTTAACTTGTCAATTACTAATTCTATAGGGCGTGCACTGAAGCTACGTCGTTTGTTATCATTACCTCCAGTAGTAGGTCCGGATGAGGAAGCGTAACTTTGAGCTGAGGCACCTGACGAACTGGTTGGCCCACCTGAGTTAATAAACGGTTTTAGGATGAGTCAATTAGTTGAACAAAGTACACGTGAAATGTACGTTATTATAAAGACAGTTTTTAAACTTCTGTTATCACAGCATTGCCCTCAAGCGATATTCTGCTGATAGATTGGTCGGTAAAAGATTAGACAGTGGCTTAATATATTTTATTTTTCAGGTCATACGAGTCCATGTGAAATGGATTGATGAATACAAGGTATCTTGGTCTGTTAGCTTTTATCTGATTTTGAGTATTGCCGCCGCCCAAGGACAAATTGTTCGCTAGTGGATTTGCCGCTTAATTTCACAACTTAGCAAGGCTGAAATTCTTCGACCTCTAACAAAAGTTAAAACCAAGAAGTATAATGTTTCTACTACACGCTGATCATCAGCGAGGTCATGATGCTTGCCCTGATGAGGCTATCTATTCAAGCAACAGCGAAGGCTTTTACAGGACAAACAGATTTATACTGTCAACCTATAATATTTGGTCTACAAAAACTGAGGTTGAAATACACACCGTTGCTTGGTTGACTACCGGGGCCTGTTGGAGCAGTAGGGCTTTGGTTCGAAGGCGTTCCTTGTTGTGGAGAGTTGCCTGATGTACCAGTGCCCTGGTTGCCGCT